AAGTTGAATTGGATTATGATTAATGACAAACTCACTTGTATTCTACACAACAATACTAAAAAGTTTGATAAAACGTGGGACCCATGGATTCGCTACATTTCCATGCCTTGATGTCTCCCGACTTGACCCTCTTCTTTTCCTTTTCTACTTCTTTTTCTTTACTTTTTACTATCCTTTTTTTCTGTTCTCTGGGGTTAGTTGAGCCTAGTCCATCACTATCTTTAAAACTTTTGTCATGTTTCAAACAACACTCATTCTGTGTGTATTCTTAGGTTTACGAACACTGGTTCTCTCCCTTCCCCTTTCATTATGTCCCCTGACTCTCCCTTTTCCTGCCCCTTTACAGCCTTCCTTTCTCCCCCCTTACCGCACCACTACCTTCGTCACCTATATATGGTTGGATAAATGATGGAGATTCTCTATTTGAATTATTCAATTGCTTTTATACAGATTCTCTGGTTTCCTAATGTATGTCTTATGTTAGATAAACCATTGGATTAATACCTAGGAGGGAAAAGCCGCACTTTATACTGATGGTATGCTTTTATACCTGGCGGGTGCAGCAAACTCTTTGGGCACAGCTCTAGCAGTTATTTTTAGATTTAACAGTTTATTCAGGATTTAAGGTAAACTGGAGTAAATCCAATATTTTTCCATTTGACTATTTGTATGTCCCTATTTTATATCTCTGGATGTTTCCCTTCAAGTTGCTTCCAAATTCAGGTATTTGGGTATTGATGTGCAATTATCTTTAGAGACCTATATAGTTAATAACCTTTCCCCACTTATACACGATTTGAAAGGTAATTTTAATACTTGGTGAAAGTTGTTCCTGAATTTATCAGGCAGAGTTAATCTGTTTAAAATGATCTAACTTCCTAGATTTCTTTATATTCTGTTACATGCTCCTGTATACATTCCTATTAAGGTCTTTTCAAATTTGAACACTTTATTGTTCTCCTTTCTTTGGGGGCCCAAGGATATCTTTGGATACCTTATATTTGCTAATCAAGGGAGGTGGGTTGGCCCTGCCTAATCTTCAGTGTTACTATTTGGCAGCCCAACTAACCCACTTCCATTGGTGATTTTTTTTCCCCTATTTAGGTAATGCCTCTGTAGCCACACAGGCAGCGCACTCCTTTGAAGCACTGATTAAAGTTCTGTATAGAAACAGGCCTTACCCTAGTGGGGGTACAGATATTATTAGACTATCATACAATATTTTCCATATGTGCAACCATAGGATAGGAGGGTCTTTTCTTGTTACTTCTCCTGATGTACTTTTGTGAAGTAACCTGCAGTGGATCACCTGAGGCCAGTCACTTCACTGGGTATATGGAAGGGTTTACAACCTCTTATATATATACCTCAGTGTGGATTTCTCAGCCTTAAAACTGTATGTGGAGTGGTATTTTCAAAAAAGCTAAATGAGGTATGTGATTTAGCCAGTGATGCCCACAAGAAATTGTAGAAAAACGTCAGTATCTGTGTAGTTTATTACTTAAACTTTAATCTGTAAACTATAATCCTTATTTTTTTTGTCCAAAGCTAAATGAAGGATGTGGTTCAGCTGATGAAGCCTAAACAACATTGTAGAAATATTATGTATGTTCTGTGTTGTGTATTATTTTATTATTATTATAATACAGGATTTATATAGCGCCAACAGTTTGTACAGCGTTTTCAATATAAGGGAGACAATACAATTACAATACATTTCAGTACAGAAGGAATTTGTATTTTGATGTGAAAAATATAAACCTAAATTTGTTTTTTGCTCTCCAAAACTAAATAAGAGAATGTGGTTTATCCAATGAGGCCTAATATAAATTTTAGCAATAGCATGTTTGCTGTGTGTAGCATACTACTTCAATTTTAATCCGAAAAATTTAATCTTTAACATTTGTTGTCCCCCATAGCTAAATGAAGAATGTAGTTTGGCCAATGAGGCCTACAAGAAAGTGTAAAAGTACTACATATGCTGTGTGTAGCATATTATTTTTATATTTATCTGAAAAATATAAAATTCTTAATTTTTTTTGGCCCCCAAAGATAAATGAGGGATGTGGTTTAGCCATTTAGACCTACAAGAAATTGTAGAAACACTATTTATGTTATGTGCAGTATATCACTTCAATTTTGATCTGGAAAATACAAAATTTGATTCATTTTTGTCCTCCAAAGCTAAATGAGGGATGTGGTTTAATCAATGAGGTCTGCAAAAAACTGCTGCTGATCTGTTACATGCGATTCCACAGACCAGCAGGCAAGCTAATACTTGTAATTCCACAGACCAGGATGTAAGCCAATAAGTTACTTGTAGTTCCACAGCTCTAATATGCAAAGTTCTTTTGGTTCTTGTAGTTCCACAAATGTGATCTGTCCTTACCCTTTTCCTGCACAATGCTTTAACCATCAACCAGTATCACCTGCTAATTAATGTAACTCTCTTTTATATGGAGATTATGACAAATGGCCCTCCCTAAACAGTATATTGCACTGAACTTGTAGGTGAATAAGAGAACCAGAATCTTTGGTAAGTAAAATAGTGGGTTTGATAATAAAATTGGCAGTGTCTCCACCCAGGACAGAGTCTCTGTGAACAGAGGGGATTCCCTTCTTGGGAAATTAACCAGGAATCTAAAAGTAATTGGAAGCAGAAGAACTACTCCAACCAGTATACAGTATATAAAAGTATATAGATGCACACCAGTACAGAAATAATACAAGCTTCATATAAGAAGAGATTATTAGCAGTACATACATCCAATATATAACAAATAAGTATCAGAAAAGGGCCCAATAAGAGTCCCGGTGGTATTGTTCATATATACCCAGGTATAAATAGTTATTAATACAGATACCGCCAGAGGAATATTGCAGCAGAGTCCCATTGCATGAGGATAATGCAGCATCTGTCTTTGTGTCATAATCCTGAAGACAAGATCAATGTTCACTGGGCTTTCCGCCCAGCCTGGAATGGGACTTCTCATCAGCAGAAATTATGGCACTGGAACTCAGAGTCAACCTATCTATTCTATGCTTTATTCCCTAGTAGTGTAAACTAGTCTCTTCTGGTCCAGGATTTAGTAGATTGAACAAGACATGTGGCAGAGACTGTCTCTCTCTCTCTCTCTCTCTCTCTCTCTCTCTCTCTCTCTCTCTCTCTCTCCCTTTACTTCATCTTCCTGTTTCCAGGCTCAGACAGGAAGGGCAGGAAGTAATGTACATAATTATACAGTACATAAAACTGTGATATTAGCAGCTAACAGTAGAGCAGTAGATCCCTGCATTAAAATAATCAGCTATACAACTAGTCCATGCCCAGCTGTCCCCTGTCATCGCTGCAGCCCTACTGTTGGGCTGCAGCAAATTAGGAAGAATTTCTCCTCTTGCCTTGTCTATCTAAACTTAATGCAGCTCTCAGCTCATTTGCTGGGCAACACTTTTGCAAGCTAGCTGTCAAGCCCTGTACCTGCCTGTTATCCAGCCTCCTTTCCTCCATTGATCCCCATCCCAACTAGCTTTGTTTCCTGCTTACCCGAGTCCAACACCTGTGGCTTCATTCCTAGCTGCCCAAATCCGTCACTGGCCCTGACCCCTGGCTTTGTCTCTGCTTATCTACTGCTGCTGCACAACCTGACCTGTTATCTGTACCTTCCTTACTGTGTCCACAATCAACTGCACTCTATGAACTGTCACAGCAGTATACAGTCCAGCTACATATCTACTTCCTGGTACCTCCTTGTCTCTAGTCCCTGGTCTTGCGTGCTGTGAGTCTGGGAGTCACAACCTTGGGTCAAAACACAGTGAAATCTATCTTTATCATCATGAGCTCTGATGCATACAAGCTGGCCCTTAGACTCTGCTTCCTGGGGGATGCTGCATTACCTGCTCTCATCTGGGGCTATCTTTGCTCTGGTGCTGTGCTTTACTGTATATCAGCTGTCAACCTATGCTTCTGTTTGTGTAGTAACCTTTACAGTGTAGCTTGAGGGGCCACATCAGTGTGACTACCATCCTGACACGTCTAGTTTTAGTTGAAAAAGCAACCTTTATTTTGTTGTCCACCAAAGCTAACTAAGGCACGTGGTTTAGCCCATGAGTCCCACAAGGAATTGAAGAATTAATGCCTATGCAGTGTGCACAATATATTATATTTGGTGTAAACAGCTGCATGCATTGTCAATTTTAAAATGTGTTCTACGCCAACTGCTGCAATATTGCCTATGTAGTCTGTATGATTCCTCCTTTACTGTATTATTTTGATATTTTTCTTTGGATTTTCTGTAATATACAGTATATACACAGTAATGTAAATTTTTGTGGAATAAAAACTACAAGCTCTATTTCTAAAATGCTGCTCTATCAATTTCAACTGATTCAAACTGCTTCAATGCTGACTATAGAGTCTCTCAGAAATAAAATGTTTAGTTCACAATAAAGCCTGTATTGTCTCTCCATCTAGAAAAACTGCTGACATAAAGTGCAGCAAGTCTGTACAATATTTCTGGTTGCTGTCTCTGAAACAATGCACTTATTTTTATTTCTTTAAAAAACTGGTCTCTCCCTCTTACAGTGCAGTCCAAACAAGCTGCTTATATTCTCTCCAGACACTGTGTTAGCACAGTGGCAGAACAAGGTCAGGCGAACAGGAGGTACAGGAGAAAAGGAGAGAAGAGATCATGTTAACTCTACTCCTAATGTCTCATCTTTCACTATTATAAGCTTAAGAACCTCCTATCAATGCTTGAGCCTGTTAAACACATCCCAGAGTGTATAAAAAAAAGTGTATAGTCACCATCAGTGACCAGAAACCAAGCAGGGTACAGCATTGGTTTCTTGATATTGATTACAGTCTATATCTATTTGGCTTCAGTATACTTAGCATCTTGATTGCTTCTTTCTGTAGAGAAGTCTAAAAAAACTGCCACACTGGTGTTTTGAAAGGGTATATTGCCTAAAACCCTACTGGGTCCCAGAAACAGATTGTGCTCCCTAAAATCAAGTGATTTAGCAATAAAAGGTCAGGAAGGTGCACCTGTAGGTGGGGGTTTGACTGTTAAACAGTGGGCTTGTTCCACCTCAAAAGTGGAAGAGAATGTTTCTATGTCATATGCAGGGGCGGACTGACCATTTGGAAACCCGGGCACTGCCCAAGGGCCCGGGGTCAGTGGGGGGCCCCATGAGATGCCCCTGCTACCTTTTTCATAGGCTTTTTTGAGTTTGGGCAAGGACACAGGGGCTCCATGATCTCCTATTGCCCGGGGGCCCCATGAGTTGTCAGTCCGCCCCTGGTCATATGTAGTAATAAAAAAGCTCACAGGATCCAGAGAAGTAACCAAGAGGGATTCCAAAAGTAGTAATCAAAAAGCCCACAGGCTCCAGAGTAGTAATCAAGAGGGATTCCAAAAGTAGTAATCAAAAAGCCCACAGGATCCAGAGTAGTAATCAAGAGGGATTTCAAAGTAGTAATCAAAAAGCCCACAGAATCCAGCGTAGTAATCAAGAGAGATTCCAAAAAACCCACAGCTTTGCTTTTTTTTCTAAAAAGCAGAGGTTATTTCTGCATCAGCTATTTTCATTATCCTCCTGTTTCTGCTAAAGAGCATATAGTTGAAGGTGATTAGTTATGTGCTGTAAAGGATTTAACTAATCCTCCACAGTACTAATCCTAGTTTCAGTCTCTCTTCAGTCTTTAACTCTCAGTTTCTGTAAATCACGCTGAATCAAATAAATATCTATCCTAACTTGTCTTAGTGGTCAAAGTATTCTGGGAAGTAGAAATAGCTTCAGTTACTTTTACCATGTCATGTGGAGAGGGATTGCAGTCTTGTGTCCCAGGATCTCTAACTCCCAGCATGGTTTTGGTTCCATCTTTGCAATACTTGTCCATCTGGCCAGAGACCACAGAGACGCACTTTGGAGACAACATGAAGGCTCAAGGAGCAAAAGAACCACTCAAATAATCCAAGGTATTGCTTTTGGAATGGGATGAAAGCCACTCTAATGTGCAGGATAGAGGGAAAGGTCAATGCTGTACAAAGCTGCAACAAGACAGGTCTCACCCCATGCACTGCCATACCATACACACCTGTATTGACATTTTATATGTAGACTATACAGTGTGGTACTACACAAAAAAGATAACAATCTATGCTAGGAAACTGGTTGCCACAGTTTGGCAATTTGTATAACATTGAGGGCTTTAGCTTAATTTTTTTTTTTTTTTGGGGGGGGGGGGGGGATATATAGTTTTTTATATAGTTTTTTGCATCTGTTGTGTCTGGTATCCACACTACTTATTTCAGGCCTATTATTTCTAGAAAAAAAATCAAGTGTTGCAGCAGAAAGTACCTAAAAATTACTTTTTTTCAAGCTCTTATGTGTAATCAAAGGAAAATGTATTACACATATAGTACACATGCACATTATGTGACTGCTGAAAATGGTATTGCTGATGTCATTCATGAGAATCATACTGTTCTGTTACACCACATGCAGCTCAAAGGCATCTTCCTAAAATGTAACTTAAAGTATTGGTGCTTTTACCATATCAACCTCATAGCCGCATAAAATAGAGGGTCCTCCCCCAACTGAACAGGGAGAGGGCCCTTTTAAAATTGTTTTTGAATTGTTACATGTCCCCTATTGCATTGCCCAGCTCCCTATGCTCTTTGTTTGACAATTTCTTGTTTATTAATGCGAAAATGGCCATAGTTAGTTTTCAAGATCTGCCCCAATTGACTTCAATGGGGTTCAGTTTAAAGTTCACAATTTCCGTAATCTGTGATGAGTCTGACGAATGGCCCATGAATTAGTTCATCACTAGTTCATCTTTTTTATACTGAAGTAAACATTAGTTAATCATTTGTGATGCTGATCAAGACAAACATGAGCATTCTCGACCACATTCATTCAAAAACAGTCTTTCATAGAGTAACCTGTTCTTGCCCCGGGCAATAGCAGAATGACAGCTGAGAGGGACTCACATCGATCTGGGTAGGCATCATATGATGCCCTTCCCGGGTCACACCTCACGCGTGCCCGCAGGGCAGCGCTATGGCGAGATCTGTCACCGGATGTGTACTTCATACACAGCCAATGATAGATTTGTGTACCAGCCCATTGCCAGTACCATGTGACCTGCTGTGACCAATCACAGCAGGTCACATGACAATTGTAAATAATGCATGCATGGCTTGCTTTCATGCCATCCACTGTGTACAATTATGTCTCTAGCTATGATTGGTCACAGTGATCACATATATAGACTGGGCCAATCACAGTCCATCTGTGTCATGTGATTAGCCTTGGCCATTCACAGCTAATCACAACAAAAATCCTAAATGAATTGATTTCATTCAGTTAAATGCTTGCTTATAGCAAATAAATTCTTTGCTATAAGCAATCAAAAAAAAAAAAATACTGATCACTTCCCTAAAGGAGTACAATGTTACTATGGTAACATTATACTACTCTGCTCACAGTGTATTATGAAAAAAATTAGATTGGCTGTCAGTACTTAGGATTGATTGATTTTCATATACAGTCATGGCCGAAATTGTTGGCACCCTTGATATTTCTCCAGGAAATCATGTATTTCTCACGAAACGTATTGCATTAACACATGTTTTGCTATACACATGTTTATTCCCTTTGTGTGTATTGGGACAAGGGAGGAAAGAAAGCAAATTCGACATAATGTCACACAAACCTCCAAAAATGGGCTGGACAAAAGTATTGGCACCCCTTTCACAACTGCGGATAAATAAGAATGTTACAAGCATGTGATGCTCCTGTAAACTCACCTGGGGCAAGTAACAGGTGTGGGCAATATAGAAATCACACCTGAAAGCAGATAAAAAGGAGAGACGTTCACTTAACCTTTGCATTGTGTGTCTGTCTGTGCCACACTAAGCATGGACAACAGAAAGAGGAGACGAGAACTGTCTGAGGACCTGAGAACCAAAATTGTGGCAAAATATCAACAATCTCAAGGTTACAAGTCCATCTCCAGAGAACTAGATTTGCCTTTGTCCACAGTGCGCAACATTATCAAGAAGTTTACAACCCATGGCACTGTAGCTAATCTCCCTGGTCGTGGACGGATGAGGAAAATTGATGAAAGATTGCAACGCAGAATAGTCCGGATGGTGGATAAGCAGCCCCAAACATGTTCCAAAGACATTCAAGCTGTCCTGCAGGCTCAGGGAGCATCAGTGTCAGCGCGAACTATCCGTCGACATTTAAATGAAATGAAACGCTATGGCAGGAGACCCAGGAGGACCCCACTGCTGACACAGAGACATAAAAAAGCAAGACTACAGTTTGCCAAAATGTACTTGAGTAAGCCAAAAGCCTTCTGGGAAAACGTCTTGTGGACAGATGAGACCAAGATAGAGCTTTTCGGTAAAGCACATCATTCTACTGTTTACCGAAAACGGAATGAGGCCTACAAAGAACAAAACACAGTACCTACGGTAAAATATGGTGGAGGTTCAATGATGTTTTGGGGTTGTTTTGCTGCCTCTGGCACTGGGTGCCTTGACTGTGTGCAAGGCATCATGAAATCTGAGGATTACCAAAGGATTTTGGGTCGCACTGTAGGGCCCAGTGTCAGAAAGCTGGGTTTGCGTCCAAGATCCTGGGTCTTCCAGCAGGACAATGACCCCAAACATACGTCAAAAAGCACTCAGAAATGGATGGCAAAGAAGCGCTGAGAGTTCTGAAGTGGCCAGCAATGAGCCCAGATCTAAATCCCATTTGTGGAGAGATCTTAAAATTGCTGTTGGGAAAAGGTGTCCTTCCAATAAGAGAGACCTGGAGCTGTTTGCAAAGGAAGAGTGGTCCAAAATTCCGGGTGAGAGGTGTCAGAAGCTTATTGATGGTTATAGGAAGCGACTGATTTCAGTTATGTTTTCCAAAGGGTGTGCAACCAAATATTAAGTTAAGGGTGCCAATACTTTTGTCCAGCCCATTTTGGGGTTTTTGTGTGACATTATGTCATATTTGCTTTTCTGCCTCTGTTTTATATTTGTTCCAATACATACAAAGGGAATAAACATGTGTATAGCAAAACATGTGTTAATGCAATACCTTTTTTGTGTGAAATACTTGATTTTCAGGAAAAATATCAAGGGTGCCAACAATTTCGGCCATGACTGTATACCATAGTTTGTGAACGCTATAATTTCCTACATACTAAATAATAAATACTGATTTGGATTATTTTCACCAAAGAAATGTAGCAGAATACATCTTGGCCTAAATTTATGAAGAACAATTATTTATTTGCAAAATTTTAAAACAGAAACAAAGAAAAAGGTGTTTTTTTTTTAATTGTCTGTCTTTCTTCATTAATTCAGCAAAAAATAGAAACCCCAGTGGTGATTAAATACCACCAAAAGAAAGCTCTAGTTGTGTGAACAAAATGATAAAAACTTAATTTGAGTACAGCGTTGCATGACCACGCAATTATCATTAAGTGTGAGATTGCGGAACGCTGAAAATTGGCCTGGGCAGCAAGGGGGTAAAAGTCCCCGGTATTGAAGTGGTTAAACACCTGACCTTATGACAACAAAACATTGTAGTGGCTCTTCAGATAGAAACAAACTCCAGAGATCAATTATCTATAGTACAGCTGAACACTATTTAAAGCTTTAATATTTATATTTGGGCAGGAAGGGATGATGTTTTGTATCTCTACTGTTGTCTGTGTCTTTAACAATGAGGTGTACCCTTAGATTGATGTCAGAGGAGCAATCTGCTTGCTGGCAACAGCTTGCAAGTGAAAGGATTGCTAACAGACTGTTTACTTTTTCCTACAGGGTCATTTTCATGCTGGCTGGTCCAGAAAGATATCACTCCCTCGATGGTTGGAATAGTGACTTGTCACTAACATGGTACCCTTTGCTAACATCTCCTAGATTGTAAGCTCCAAGGAGCAGGGCCCTCTAATCCCTCTTGTATTGAACTGTATTGTTACTATTCTGTCTCCCTCCATAATGCAAAGTGCTGAGCAAACTGTTGGCGCTATATAAGTCCTGTATAATAATAATAATGTGAGATTCTACAGAATTTTAGACCAGCAAGAGATCAACTCCTTTAGCACAAATAGGTCTAATTTTGATAATTCTGCCTACAATATGTCATCAATGGCAAATTCACCTATTTGACATGGACCTTACTCCCACAATTGCTTCAATAGGCCATGTTTGGTTATAAATAAAACCTATTGGTTCCCCACCTAGAGTATAGTTTCTGTATAT